AATATACAAATAAAATTATTAAACTGTCTTCATTATTTCACTAGGTTAATTTTTAATCCCATTTCCATAATAAAATCCATTCTGCAACATGATACAAACTGTATCTCATTTCTGTCTCAGTATCTAAAATTGATCATCCATAGTAAAACAGGACAAAGCAGACCCTTCTCATTTTCCCAGTCCAGGGTGGCCCAAAACACAGTAGATATGCAGGATTCAGGCCAGGTGAGCAGATTAAGTGAAACAATTAATAATATGCACCTTCTCTCTTGCAGAATGTAAGTAGACACATTAATCCTTTCATCAGCATGGTATACAGTTTTGTTTTGTAAACAGAAAGAAAACAATCAGCACTGAAAATGTTAGCATCTGAAAATTATTTAGGATAGCCACTTCTAGTGCCTGGTCTTTGCAAACACATGTATACTTTCTGAAAGCATGTCACACTACAAAAACTTTGAACTTTAATTACTTCATCAAGCAATGTGACAATACAAGAGCTATGAAGAAAAAGGATATTACTAAAATTATACAAAATAAACTGATAAATGTGTTACAGCAGATTACAACATCCCTATTTAGATTATTATTAATTTCTAATAAGAGATAATATTTTACTGCATTTTAAGTACAGTAGGTATGATAAGAGTAGAGGTGTGAGTGCACTGAAAAATACACCATTCCCACCATGTTAGGGCAGCAACCCTGGCATTGACCTATACTTGATAACAGGGCTCCAGAAAATACAACTTAATGAAATCCCACAGCCATATAACAAAATCCACTATTTCACAGTCTCACAATATATACCATACTCATACTAATACTTTTACATGATATATTAAAAACCTAACAGTGAATGTTGCACAAAGTTCATTAAGCATGCTAGTCAAACAACGTTACTGGAATGGTTAAAAATGGCACATGTTTTGGCACTAATTATGTGACATATTCGGATCTTCCCAACTGAGATGTGTAAAAAGAACCCTTGTCCATAATTGGTACCAATAAATAAGCAAAATTTCCTTTTACACATCTCACTTGGGAAGGTCTGATGATGATGTATAATTACTGCTGAGCCATGTAACCTCATTAACCATTTCAATACAGTTGTCTGACTGCCATATTTAATAAACTCTGTTCAACACAATGGAATTCGTCAATTCAAATCTGTTAAATCAGGGAACAAAAGTAATGAATCCCTACCATTGGTGCCCACCAACTCACTGTTGTAAGTTGGTGAGCATATTTCTGAAGCCCTGTTTAGTGCAATGAAGGGCCTTTTAAACACTTCATATAACTGTATTATACTAATATGCTAATTTTGGCTCTTGTCCTTATGAACAAATTGTGAAAATCCTTGTGATCAGTCCCTTATGTTAACAAAATATATTGACTAAGTGGCAAACAACGTTCCATTTGAAGATCACTGTCTCTGAGATGTGATGCCATGTAGTCTAGTGGTGATACCTACTACCCAGTGCCATGAGAACATCAACTCTCACAAGGATCCATTTCAAACAACACACTTTTAAACTATAGAAAATGGACTGTATGGCTGGTCATAAAAATGATATTTTCAGAATTCAAGGTCTACTTCCACATTAACTATAGATAATCCTCAAGACTGGCATATCTGCAAAATCAAACACACAAAACTCTAGGAATATCTTGGGAAAATATCCTTACAAATAACTGTTTTTGTCCAGTAATCCGTATGTAAGCATAGTAATTCCACACACTACATACTTTCTCAAAATTAATGCGAATGCATTCATAGTGTGTCAACTACTGCAGACTAGTTTTTCATGCTTAACATGTATACAGCTAGTATTTCAAGAATGCAAAAGCAATTCTCTAGTCATGTGTGATTCTAAATATTTCAGCACAACCATTATATATAAATGAGGCCAAAAATAATGCCATTAATTCTTAACACACAAAATATAAGCATGTAAGGAATAAATATCATTAATACCTTGTAACGAGCAGTTCTCATTCCAGTGTTTGAAATTTTATCTTTGGTAGCTAGAAAAAATATTTCTATAGGGTGATTCAGGAATCTGCTAAATTTCATACATTAATCAAGTGATTTTGAGTAAAAAGATTTCTATTTACATGGCTCCAATTCATGAAGTCTAAAGAGTAAAGCCAGCCTGAAAGTATGAAGATGTACAACAAAAAAAAATCCTTAAATAATATTTTTTTTCAGTAGCTTCAATCTAAAGCTAATGCAAGTGTTTTTTAATAACAGAATATGTTACAAAAACTAGGAATGTGTTATTCACAAATTTTTTAAGACTGACTCAAGAAATATTCTGATCTTGATTCAAACAATGATTCTCAATTTCAAACTTTCAGCATTCTTTAATATCCACTTTTGCTTTGAGCTATAGCATATAAACTGCCTAAGCCATCACAACTGCAATGGTTGGCAACACCATTTTGTCAGTGAAATCTTTCTCCCTCTCCCTCTTTCTCTTTCTTTCTGCAGTGAGAAATGAAATGTCCCTAAACCTGATTTTGTCATCTGCAATGATTTACGATATATTTTTTTTTTTAAATAAAAAAAATTAAGCAATAAACTCTAGAGAACTGTGAAGAAGTGGTCAGTGTAACAAACCGTGATCAGTAAAAAAAGTGGTCTGATAAGGAAAATTCTTGCTTTTGTCTCAATTCCTGAAAGGTTTCAAAGTTCTCATCTTGAAAAGAGGAAGTCTTTTTCACACACACCTTACAAACTGTTCAAAGATCTGTCTGTGATCTGAAAGCCCATATAGTGTTGCCGGTGATTTCAATAACATTCAGTTTAGCTATATGTTAAAGTTACAGCAAAATTCTTCATTAAAAACCCTCATTTCTGACATGTCTTTATCTCACATTCAAACAGCCATACCTCTTATACTTGATTAATGCATGCATAAAGTTTGGCAGACTCCTCCTGAATCAACCTGCACAATTTAATCACTAGAGAAGCATAGTTTTATAAAATTATCTTAAAGAGCTGCCTAACGCCACTGATGACAAATATACACAGCAACCAAATTAAACAGCAGCTGTGATGAGTACATTAGAATTCATATACAAATCTAGTACGTAATAATATTATAAAATTGGGAAAATGTGAGATGTTACAAAGCATGCAACATAAGATCGTACTAAGATTGACAATTGGGCCGTGCCATAGCTCAAGCGGTTAGTCGCTGGCTTCCCACCACAGCAGCCTGGGTTCGATCCCGGGTCTGGTCAAGTGGGATCTGTGGTGGACAAAGTGGTGCTGGAGCAGGTTTTCTCTGAATACTTCGGTTTCCCCTGCCAATTTCATTCCACCAATTGCTCCACAATCACCCTCACCTATCATCTGGGGCTGGTACAAAAGGCCAGAAGTGGTCACAGTACAAGGGACTTAGTCCCACCCCAATAGCATTAAAAAAAAGATTGACAATTTACATGTAAAAGCAACCTGTATTCTGCTTATTTATGAATATTACATGTTCTACACCTAGTATACAAGGTGTGCCAATAAAGAAACCGGATTACTTTTATGACTCATTTCCGGCTACGTCGATGACGAAGAGGAGGGTAGGGCATTGACCCTTGGACTTAACTCTACCGTCACACAAAGTTTCATTCACGCGCATCGGTTAGTCTGGCCGCGACCAGTGTTAGAAACGGATCGTGTGTCTGAGCTCCGTCGGAATAATGCTGAGTGCTAATGTAGAACAACGTGTTAACATCAAATTCCTCACAAAACTTGGAAAATCTGCCACTGAAACTTACAATTTGTTGACAGAAGTATATGGTGATCAGTGTCTATCTCGCGCGCAAGTTTTCAAGTGTTTTAAGAAGTTTATGGAGGGTAGGAAAAACGTCGGGAACAATCCAAAATCGGGCCGTCCTTCCACTGCGAAAACTCCAGAGAATGTGGAGAAGGTCGCTAGAATTGTTCAAAGAGATCGTCGACTGAGCATTTGAGCAATTTCTGAACTTACCAACATCAATAAGGAAAGTGTTAGACAGATTCTGCATGACAATCTGGGCATGAAAAAGGTGGGTGGTAAAGTGGTGCCAAAAATCCTTACCCCCCAGCAAAAGGAACATCGAGTGAATTGCTGTGTTGACACTCTTGAAAACATTGAAAATGATCCTGATTTCTTCCAAAAGGTAATTACGTGTGATGAAACTTGGATTCTTCAATATGATCCAGAGACTAAGCGACAATCCATGCATTGGAAGCGCCCCAAATCCCCTAGGAAGAAGAAAGCATGCATGAGCAAGTCCAAATTCAAAGCAATGATGATTGTTTTTTT